AACACCCCCCCCCCATGTTTTATGGTCAATTAATATTTGACAAAGGAGACAAAAACATACAATGGGTTAAAGACAGTCTATTCAATAAATGTTGTTGGGAAAGTTGGACACACGCATGCAAAATATTGAAACTAGAACACCTTCTTACATCATACACAAGAATAAACTCACAATGAATTAAAGACTTCAATGTTAGACTTAAACCATAAAATTCCTAGAAGAAAACATAGGCAGCAAAATCTTGGATATTTCTCATTTCAATATTTTTTTCTAATATATCAACCTAAGCAAGGGAAACAAAAGAAAAATAAACAAATGGGACTACATCAACCAAAAAAATTTTGCACAGCAAAGGAAACACAATCAACAAAATGAAAAGACAGCCCACTGAATGGAACATATCCATCAAAATACATGGGATAAGGTATTAATATCCATAATTTACAAAGAACTCATAAAACTCAACATCCAAAAAACAAGCAATCCAATTAAGAAATGGGAAAGAACCTGATAGACACTTCTCCAAACAGGTCATACAGATGGCCAACAGGCATATGAAAAGATGCTCAACACTACTTATCACCAGAGAAATGTAAATTAAAACCACAATGATATATCACGTCAGACTTATCAAAATGCTATCATCAATAAATCAATAGACAAGTGTTGGCAAAGATGTGGTGAAATGAAAACACTGTGTAAAACAGAACAGAGTTTCCTCAAAAAATTAAAAATGGAACTGCCTTATGACCCAGCATTTCCACTTCTGGGAATATACCTGAAGAAATATGAAACACTGATCTGAAAGAATATATGCACCCCTATGTTCACTGCAGCATTATTTACAACAGCCAAGATATGAAGCAGCCCAAGTGCCCATCAGTAGATGAGTGGATAAAAAATTTGTGGTACATTTACACCATGGACTACTACTCAGCTGTGAAAAGGGGAAATCTTACCCTGTGCCACAGCATGGATGAGTCTGGAGAGTATTGTGCTAAATGAAAAAAGCCAGTCAGAGACAGACAAGTACCATATGATTTCACTTATATGTGGAATCTAATGAACAAAAACTAACAACAAAAAAAAATAGGAACAGACTCCTCGATACAGAGAATAGACTACCAGCTCTCAGAGAAGAGGGGATTGTGGGGGCTGGATGCAAAAGGTGAAGGGATTAAGCAAAGAAAAAATCCCTCATTGACACAGAAAACAGTATGGTGATTACCAGAGGGAAAAGAGGGATTGGGGGAAGGTAGAGGAGAGTAAAAAGGGGATAAATGGTAAGGGAAGGAGACTTGATTTGGGGTGAACATGCAATACAATATACAGATGGTGTATTATAGAATTGTACACCTGAAACCTATATAATTTTATTAACCAATGTCACCCTAATAAATTCAGTAAAATTTTTTTTAAAAAGTGTAGCGTTCTCAGGAACCAGGCAGCAAGAGAAAAATAACATGGCTCCTCTTGACCCTCAGAAGTGCAAGTCCCTGAGAGTCACACTCATTACTACACTACCGTTGGTCCGGGACTCAGATATTAGCAAATCCATTTGGCAAGAGGGGAGGACCAGGCCTAGCCTCAGGGGAAGAGCTGCCTCAAACCAGTGTAAGCATGAGGCTGGTGCTGGCACTTAAATGTTGTGTCTTAGTTAGAATCTCTGGACACTGGGCTCAGGCTGTCACAGCTGACAAATTTCATAGCCACCCTGCCAGGAGTTGTAAAGCATGGGGCAGAAATGAAAGATTCTTATCCAGCTTCTGAGTCCCTTTTTTCTAGTGACTGCCCATGTACTGAGACTTACTTAATGGCATCAGCATATTCTGGAAAAAGTATAAATCAGCAGTGCAATAGCTGGACTAGAAAAGTACTTCTATTCTTAAAGTACACCCAGGCCAAAACCTATGTACATATAGAATTAAATGAGTGCTTTGTGCTGTGTTTTAACTTTATGTATTATATCTCATTCATGTCTTATTCATCCTAATTGAGAGTAAAATATTTGAGGGTAGGACTTTGTCAGATTGCCTTGTACTAAAAAAAAAAAAATGTTTTATTGAATATTTGTTCAAACTACCTTCTCCATTAGTTCACAACATTATCACGATACCCTTGGGAAGAGTTATTAGTCCTATTTGAAACTGAAGCAACTGAGACTCACACAGAGGTGACTGAGTTAATGGGAGTCTGAACAACAGCAAGGATATTAATCCTTTTGGTGATGATGATGAGACTTAAAGAGAGCCAGACACTTGCTGGAGATCCATAGCTAGACAAAGGTGGAGGTGGGGCCGACTCCTTGCTGGCACTGCACCTCTCCACTGTGCGGGGCTTTGCAGATGAATATGCTACAGTGTAGAAAAGACACACGTATAGAGTTCCAGCAGGGTCTCCTAACCAGAAGAGTAAAAAAGATGTTGCTGTTTCAGGCTGGCTAGAGAGCCGTGCTCTTCATAGCGGGCATGCTTGGCTATGACCATTTCTCATACATAATAACAATGCATCAGCTTCCCACACGAGTGACCCTGAGAATCTCAGGATCACTGACCCTTGTCATAGACGCTCCATCACTGGAGGCTTCCAGGTGCCTCTGTCTCTGTGTTCCAGGTGCTTCACCCCACGTCATACCTCCTGGTCTTATTTGGTATTACAGGCAATCTCTCACATCAATCCTCTTAAACCACACAGGATGTATGACAACCTGTGAGGAAGCCACTTATGTTCAATTACAGGCATTTTTTTTTTAACATGTCCACTTTTTCTTCTGGGGTTTATTTGGAGAGAGAGTTGAAAAGAACACACTGTGCGGGAGGTGCCAGTAAAATGCCACGGTCATTTGGGAGACCTGTCTGGAGTTGCTGGTTGTGATTTACTGAAAAGAAAATGAACCACATGCCACCATCCATCTTGCTGAAATGCAGGCATGTGCAGCTCCAGCGGTGGAGAAGGCCCATGGGGATCCCTGCAAACCTCCACTCTGGTTTGAGAGCCATGTATATGCTGCAGAGAAATGAAACTCATGGTCCATGGGCCAGCAAGGAATTTTCCCGGGACCCAGAAATACAAAACTACAGGGAACCAACTCTTAATTTTGGCACGACAACTCACTTCTCCTCCATGATGCCATAAATGAGGTCCAAAGGTTCCAACTGGAAAAACACAGCTCATATCATCAGTACGTTATATCAATGTCCATCTACGTGAAACTCTATCAAGGATTTGCTGTGACTGTGAATGATACATGAAAGGAATAACCCAGAGTAGGCAGAGTAACAATGTGAATATCATCATTGATCTTCAGTGAACAACCCCATTTTCCTCTTTACTATTGACCTGACAGTCAGTGAAAAATATACCTCCAGCTGAAGAACAAAAGACAGGCCACTCTTTCCCTAACAAGAAAAATGCTCAGTGTTTACCATGGCAGAGAAGGCCTGTTTGGCACCTCAAAAAAGTGTTTGCAATTTAATTCTTACAGGTGGGTATATGGCCACTTCAGTTGTTTCAGGTTGATAAATAGTACTAGATCAATATGAAATTCAAATTGGTTCATTACTGCCGGCGGTAGCATTTTGGTTAGGGAGGAGGCTAAAATCACTGGTAAACTGAAATCTGGTCATCTTGTCTTTCAGTACAACAGATTGGTAATCGGCTGTTTCTGCTGAAAGCTTTAAGCAAAAGAGAACTGAGCAGCAGAAAAGGTCAGATCAGGCTCCTACACTGGGGACCAGGGGAGGGTGGAGGGGCTCATAAAAGGCCAGTCCACCACACTTCAAGGTTCAGATGATAAATAAAACCAGTGGACATGGTGCTACTTAACATTTCTGATTTTCTTCTTTAAATTAGCCAGGAATTTGGCTGGCCATTTTCTTTTTTAATCCTTACCCAAGGATATTTTTTCATTGATTTTTAGAGAGCGTGAGAGAGAGAAGGAAAAACAGAGAGAAATATCGACGTGAAAGAAACACATCGATTGGTTGCCTCCTGCATGAGCCCTGACCAGGGCCTGGGCTGGCTGGGGAGGAGCCTGCAACCGAGGTACATGGCCACGGCCAGAATCGACCCCGGGACCCCTTGGTCCGCAGGCAGACGCTCTAGCCAATGAGCCAAACCGGCCAGGGCTGTTAGTCCGTTTTCTTATTTGGAGAGCATTTAAGTAGCATTTTTTACTTTTTCCCATTTATAGATACCAGGAGGTCCATACGTGAAACTTAAAATGCCCTATGGGTTTTTAATATGCTAATTCACAGTATTTAAACCTCATAGGTAAATGTTCAATCCCTAACCACGCCCCACTCCGCAAACACGCCTTGGCTACCTCAAGGTAGACCACCAAAGCCTCAGTGAGACCCCAGGCTTCCACCAGCCTCTGTTCCAGGTTGAGGGGTGGGAAGCTCAACTATACCACGGCTAATAATAGACTCCCCTGGACGGCTCTGGAGCCTCTGGACGTGTACTTGCTGAGAAGGAGCCAGCCCTGCCTGCATTTCCAGACACAACCCAGGGAGCAGGGAAGCCTCCCCAGCCCCATCTGCCCCGGGAGCGCTGGGAGCAGGCTTTGTGGAGATGCCCTAGGCCTGGCATATCCCACAAGCAGCAGCCCTGTCTCCCTGAGACCTGAAACAGGCAGACATTTCAGAATTTGTCTCATCTCAGCAGTGCAAACAATTATGGGCTCCATTTCCTCCAAAGACTTCACCTTCAAAATGTTCATTTATGTCCTTTTCTTTCTTTTTGACACAATTTTCCCTTTTGGAATCAGGTTACTACATCATTCTTCCTAAATAAATTTCTTTCACAGGTCACTATAAACTTGGCTCCCAAACATGCTGCCAGATATTTCATGACCTTCTGAAAAACAAACGTCAAACCCAAACTCGCGTGTGCGCATGCACACACACACACACACACACACACACACACACACACACACACATCAATGTGACCACCCTCTGCCCAAAGAGCCCTTCAACATTCATTGAACTTGGTCTTACCTTTCCAAAGAAGTGCTGAGTGGACACGGCGAGTGCCTGGAAACCGCAGATGGCCCGTCTCAGCTCCCGCTGCACGAGGCCCAGCTGCCTGGCCTGCTGCTCACTCCTCTCCTTCAGCCGCTGAACCAACTGCCTCTCGGCTTCGCGGGCCTGCGGGTCCGGCTTGGGGGAAAACCCATTTCGGGGAGCCGTGCTCCTCTGCTTGGGGTATCCTATTAAAAAAATAGCCGCTTGTGAAAAAAACATGCAGCCCTTATTACAAGGTATGACTTGTAGTAAGGGGACAACAGCTCCTTATTACAAGATTTCTTCAAGAGCAAGTGGCCAAAAAGAAATGGCCAGGTTTGTCACTGTAGGTATTAGAAAGAAAAAACAGACAGGGACTTAAAATATTTGCTCTGCTTATGTGGTTCTAGGTGCAAGTTTCATGCTTGGAAAAAGAATAATGAGGCCAAATTGCCCAATTCCTTTCAGCTTCCTCCATTTCTTCCAGGTCTGCTTAGAGAGATTAGAGTAGATGGTTTATCTTCAAAGGAATTGCTCTTTGAAAATGTCTAATGGGAAATCAATCAATCAGTGCAGGTCAAAGTCATAGTTGTAACTAATTGAGCATCAGGGAGTACTGCCCGCGTGCCCTTGCCTCCCTTTCTGTGGTCATCTAGTGACCCTTTCTTTGATGTCTGATGTAAGTCACACCTCTGATGGCCTCTGCTCCAGGGTTTTCTGGCTTTAAATTTCTACAGCATCAATGTCCTCCAAAATATTCCCTCAGGTGACCACTCATACCACCTCCACAACTCGGTCTGGTCCAAGGCACCACAACCTGTCACCCATGGGAAGCCCTGCTCCTCTTCATCTCTCACTGCACAGATTATAAAGGATAATCTTTATAAATATAGAACAGCTCATGCCTGTGCTGAGCTTTCCCTCCAATTATGTTCCATTGCAGTAAGAAAGTGCTCATTCCTTCCCATGGCCCAGGAAGCCTCTGGGATCTGGTAACGGCCAGGCAGATGGTGGGGGTGTATGTGTGGGCAGGGGGATGGGGCCCAGGGAAAGGAATCAGAAACTCCGCCTGGGGTTGGGGACAGGATGGGGGAGGCTTTAAGGAGAAGTGACTATTAGGCTGAAGCTTGAAGGCTAAAGGCAAGGCCCCCGGAAAGAGCACAGACAAGCACTGTATCATGGTCCAAGGCCCTAGGCAAGCCAGGGTCTTCTCGGAGCTGCTGTCCTCTTCGTGGGAGATAGGGCTGACCAGACACCCAGAGAACATCTCCTTTGCATTGTGGACTTACTTCCCAGAAGTGCATGCTTTCCTTTGCCCAAGTAGATCCTGGGGCATGTGACAGACATTTACCACACAATCACAAATAACTTTAATACCTCAAACATTCTTTTGTCTACTTTTGCTCACCTCCAACATACTAGGGAGTAACACATAAAGCAAATCAGTATCTGATACACAGAGCAGAGAAATGGGCTTGGAACACACAACTGGCCTCATCTTTTAAGGAGAAAAGATGGCTAATTGCTCTAACTACTTCTGATTGGTAATTTAATGGCAACCAAGAAAGTTTTAATGAAATCTTCCTCCTATTAAGAAATAATCCAAGATTGCATTGTGGCCTCACATATGACATATCTTAAACTAGATGGCTTAGTAGAATAGTAGAATGTGAACTTATTGCTTCTTTAAAGCTGGCTTTATGACAGTAGGATACATAATGTTCCAGAAGATTCACTTGCACATTGTAGGAAAATCAATCTTAATATGTACTTAATTTCAACATACTCAATACTGAACATAAAAGAAAAATAACCAACAAACCATGTGAGATTTACTGTGTGCATTAAACTCTAACACACAGCCTAAGATCCCAGGTGGACTTTTTTCATGATTACTGTTTGCCATTTTATTGCTATGGCTGGTGATTTTATCAAATACTCCAGTGTTGTAATTATTGAGGTACCAGGTGCATGACACTGATACTATAGAAGATATCTCTTTTAGAAATCTGAAGGAAATAATAAGCACACCTCTAGCTCAATGAATTGAAGTTACTTGCAATATAGGGCACACAGAGTCATGTGTGAGCTTGTGGATAGCAGTAAGCAATCAGGCTGCTGTGAATTTTTGGTTGTCAGGTTTTTCCCTGTTATTGTTAGTATTACTATCAATATCATCATCATCATCATCATCATCATCATCATCATCATCATCAGGTTAGCAATTATAGTCAATGGTAAACGGACAATATAAAATGATTTCCTGAAATCCTATTCTTGGTGCTAAAGGGAAGCAAAGTTTGCCACCCTCAAAATATGACTTTTGGAATATTGATTATTTTAAGCTGGTTATTAAGGAACAAAAGACTCAGAAAGAACCTTTGACCCTCTTCCTTTGCCCGTCTATGTCTAAAGAAATTTAGGTAGAGGACCTGCTCCAGGAAGTGAGCCATAATCAGATAACTGTAGTTTAATCTGAACCAGGTGTGATAGACAGGGAGGGAGTAAGGTACCTTTGCTCAAAGTCCTCTCTGTGTCCCACTGTTAAAGTTGGCTCAGGAAATATTTGTTTACCAAACATTCATTTCCATCTCCATGTGAGTTGCCTTCCTGCCATTTGAAGTCCCAAACCACTCCCCTTCCCCACCTTCTCCTTAGCTCAAGATGACATATAAGTCTCAACTGCCTAATGTTTCTTTGGGTCTCATATCTTTTGGCACTGCCAAATGTACATCTGTAATATAACCTTCTGACATTTTCTCCTCTTAATCTGTCTCATGTTAACTTGATTATTAGCCCAGCTAGAAGAAATTAGAAGGTGGGAGGAAAGTTATTTTTGGAGCCCCAACAGTGCTTACTTGATTTGATGTTATTACTACACTAGAGGCCCAGTGCATGAAATTTGTGCAGAGGTAGGGTCCCCAGGCCTGGCCAGTGATCAGGGCCGATCAGGGCCTTCCAGCTGCTGGTCGGGGCTTTCCTTCCCCGGTTTCCAACTGGGGCCTTACTTTGTTCCATGCCACCCCCTGGTGGTCAGCACATGTCATAGTGAGTGATCAAACTCCCAGTCTCCCGGTCGAACTCCTGAGGGGACATCTAGCATATTAGCCTTTTATATATAGACTGCTTTCATTCATACACTCAATTCAGTGTTTTATTAAACATCAGTGCACTCAGTCCACATTTCTATTCCTGGGGCCAACAAACAAACATTTGAGCTAAGATACAGGCTCCCGCCGAAACCGGTTTGGCTCAGTGGATAGAGCGTCGGTCTGTGGACTGAAAGGTCCCAGGTTCGATTCCGGTCAAGGGCATGTACCTGGGTTGCGGGCACATCCCCAGTAGGAGATGTGCAGGAGGCAGCTGATCGATGTTTCTCTCTCATCGGTGTTTCTAACTCTCTATCTCTTTCCCTTCCTCTCTGTGAAAAATCAATAAAATATATTAAAAAAAAAAAAAAAGATACAGGCTCCCCTGTGAACATCAGCTTTTGGTATCAACACACCAAGCAAAAGTTTAGCTGATTTGTGGCACCAAAACAATGCTTGCTTGGGACTCATGGCTGGCTGCGCATGCGCCACCCAACCAACGTCCCAGCATAGACTAAGGCTCAGAATTCAGTGCTAAGACTGTAGGGAGGAAGCACGGAGAAACAAGGCTGGTGGTGGAGAACTCTATTGCTTTTAGAGGAAAAGGGTCCTGCCCTTTCTAAACATATCAAATGAAACTTTATCTAGGTCTAATCATTATTTTACAGTCAATAGCATATTTTTGGTCCTCACTAAACACAGTATTCTTTCTTGTGCTGTCAATTTTTGGTATGTGTTTCGTTATCTAACATCATGAAGTATTGCTCCGTCACTTATTTCCCTGCCTGCCCTGTGAGAGGCCATCCCCTGTCGATGCACAGCGACAGCCGCCCAGGCTCACCTACTGTCTTGGGGATGGAGAACTTATGTTGAAAGATGACTGACACACAGCCAGCTTCACCTGTTTCATTAAAATGTAAGGAGGATTTTGTTTGTTTTTGCTATCTTCTCTTAAAAGTTAGCACATAATGAAGCTAAATAATAATCTGCTTAGGAAGCAAGGGGCCAATGGAACCATGAGATGAAAAACTCCTGGGTAGCAGTGAACACAGGGAACGTGTGGGAGCGCGGTCGGCACTGGAGGGGATGTGGTGATGGAGGTTCTCCTCTGACCTCTCACATACATTTCCCTGGAAGAGCCACAATGCACACTTTAAATGAGAGGCACACCATGTCCTCTGAGGACACTTCCAGATGCTGAAAAGTTTTGTTCTCACTTCCTTCCGTGTTACTTGTGGTATTTACATTGCTTCCGGGGTAGCTGAAGGTTCCTAGCAGGCAGGCATGTCCCTGACCTCCCCTCTGCAGTCAAGCAGCGCCACTTACATGTGTGTGTTTAGGTTCTTTTAAAAAAATCAAAGCTCTGGCCTCCCACACTATCTTCTGATTTCCACTCAGTTGAACTAGGGCACTGACATTAGTGAATAAAGAACTTCAAAATAGGGTCTATGATGGTTTTAGAGTCTTTAACTGAAGTGAAAAAGAGAGTAGAAATACCAGTGTTTTTACTGTTTGCCCCAGCTGTTGCAAAAGCGTATCCTCAGTGCTTCTCTTTGATATAAAATATAGGAGTGGAAATACCCAGACCAGCGTCTTTCCAAGACCCATAGACAGATCTGATTTCATATGTACGCTTTAAGCCATGTGCTTTGGAGGGGACCAAAATGCTTGACAGCTTTTATTGAGCACCTACTCTACTCCCAGGGCTCTTAGCACGTAAGTCCACTGCTGATCGCCCCTGCAACATCTCCAACCGATCTTATGGGTGTGGGGACACATGCTAAATCTAGAACATTCTCCTATTATCTCAATCTTGCCCCAATCACAATTTCTCTGTAGTCATCCTACTGGCTCCATAACTCTGGTTAGGGGCAGAGAGACTCTATGATGACTGTAGTGAAAACTGGCAACTTACAGGGAAAAGCCAGTAACCTTATATTCTCACAAGGTTGAGTACAAGCCACGCGCGTGCAGAGGCTAAGCACTGGGGAGAAGAACAGCCTGGAAAGTGGAATATTAAAAATTCATCTGAAGCCATCTGGTCATTATCCAGAGGATTCTAATGGATGTTAAATCTTAGTTTAATCTTTTTTTTAAAATATATTTTATTGATTTTT